TTATCATGTGTTTATTGATATTTTATTATTACATCAAAAAATTATTAAAAAAAAAAAATTAAAATTCACAAAGTTATGAGCAGTCAAAGTGGAGGTTCCCAAAAAAAGAGGGTGTCCTGGCGTACATGATTCCAACCCTCCTGGTGATTTGAAACATAAAAAATAGATGGATTCTTAATTATAATAGATGCCGCTATCGTATGAACCTTGGATAAGTTAAAAAAATTGTTTTTGTTCGAATGGCGGCAGTTTGAAAAAAAAATTATTTTTTTTCATGTTTTTTTGGCAATTCCGTATTTTTAAAAAAAATACTAAATGAAAAGATATAGTTTTGGGCAAGGTCCATACGATAAAGCGATGTATGGAGAAGATCCTCTTCAAATTTGAAGTAAATCGGTTCATTAGAACTCGAGATATCCTTACCGCCAGCTCGAAAAAAGTAGTTCCGAGAAAAACGCGTTCAAAGTTTTGAGACTCGGTCGGACCCGAACCGAGGCCACGTCACTAAAACGACTATAACTCAGGAAATAATAGTAATTTTGAAAAATCCTTCTAATGACATATTTTTGAATAACTAAACTTTGAAAATATGGAAAAAAAAATTTTTCGATTTTTTCAAAATTCTACAGTAGAATACCCCCTTAAGGGACTGGTGTTTTTACTGGAGAAATAAATTTGGTTCATTATTAAAATGTTGCAAAATATTCTATACATAAAAATATCAAACAAATAAACAAAAATAAATAACATCAAAGAACATAACACATGTAGAAATTAAACAACTATTGAACTATGTTCAGCAAAATTTCAATTATAAAAATGTGGTTTTTCACTAACGGGACAAGGACTTGAACTAACTATTTATTTAATTTATATATTAAATAATGTATAAATATATTAATTTAATATCGAACTGATAAAATACCTCGGTTCTGCAATATTTATCCAACTAACATATTATTCAAGCATTAAACATTGTTATTTGTTTAAAATTTTTGACATTTTTCTGTTGTTTTGCAAAATATAACATGTAGTGCTAGAATACTAAAGCAAAGTTATGAAAAACATTTGCTTGAATATTTAAATAAATATAAGAATTTGTTTATATTTTAATAATATTTAAAATGTCTGCTGGAATGTTTATATTATGGAATGTTCCGTCAATGTTATAGTGATATATAAACTAATCTTTAAAGCTATGGTAACACTGTTCAGTCACATCTAATTTAATTTAAAAAAAAAACAACTATTATAAAACATTTTTAAACAAATTAAAATAAAAAAAAAACTAGGTGTAAGTGGCACTTTGCCTCAAGGTAAGTTAATCAATAAGAAATCAATATATTAATTTATGAGTGATATTTAAGTACATCGAGTTGCTGTAAGGCACGAGAAAATATTATTTAATTTTCTGCAAACTGTTCAAACATGTTGGTTATTTTCGAAAAATGGTTTAAATATTACACTTTCTGGAAAAACAAATATGCGTTTAATACATACAATGAGTTTTTTTTAATCTTTTAAATGAACCCTTTGTCGTACCTCTAATATTTTAGTGTGTTCTTTAAGACCAAAAACTTTATCGTCATGCAGGGTTTCACTAAAATCGCAAAAAAATCATTTATATTATAAAGAAACTACTCGACCGACTTTTACAAGAAAAATAATAAGCACGATTTGCAAAGAATTGTTTTTGATTTTGAATCCTTGGTTGAAATTTTTTTACGAAAGCTGGGACAAATACTTAGCACTTTTCTGCTAATTCTGAAGAAACGGCTTAACCGATCATCTCGAAAAACTAACCAACTAAGGTGGTAATCGAGTTTCATCGAATGGATTTGATTGTTTTTTTTTAATCTATTCAGCCGTTTTTTCGACAAGACGTTTAAAATTAGCACACACTCATACTTTTTCTAATTCTTGTCCCAAACGATTCAGAATGACTAAGCGCTGAGAAAACTTAAAATTAGAAATTCGGATTTTCGGGATGAAACTTAAACTTCTTGTTTGGGAAGGTCAAAAATAGTGTTACTTATTTTAATTTTTATGACATATACTTTGGGACACATGATATATTATACCCAAATTTAAAAATTTTTGCATTTCATTGTTCAAAGAACAGTTCAACCTTCTTTACTCAGAAGTTAAACAATTCCGTGGACAGTAAAATGCTGTAATTTTTAAAATTTATGCTTATATAAGTGACACAAAAACTAAAATTTGCAACACTATTTATAATAATTTCAAAATAATGTCTTTTAAAATGAATATCTAAAAAAATTTCATTAAAATTATGTTATACTGTAAGTGATAAAACAAAGAGTTGCTCATTAGACATAGACCATACATGTAACAATTTTTTTGTCTATTCTTGTTCCATAAAATTTAATTTAATTTATTTAAATCTATATGATGAAATGCTTGTATTGTATTGTTATTATATGTTTGTCTATTTAAAAATTATTTTGCAAATTTTTTGTAAATGTAGCAGAAAAATGTTGATACGAACAGGTAGATTATCAGACTTCATACAAATTAAGAAATATATAAAATTTCATTATTATTCTATTATATTATTTTATTTAAAAAAGTTAAAAATATTTTTGTCAAAAAATAATTTATATTTTGGAATAATGAAGGTCAAGCATGTTTCTTTTACGTTTGTTTATCAAGTTTACGCATGTTATGTCTTCTTCTACTTGAACACAAGTTTAATTGTTATAACAAGTGTTTATAAAATAATAAATAAACTAAAAATAAAAAATATTACTTTCAATACTCACATTTACATAGAGCAGCCGGCCTCGAGTAAGAACGTACATTGGAAACCACTTTCGGATTCGATACCAACTGAAAATCAGCTTGATATCAAGCAGTAGTGATATCAAATTTTCTCTCGAGACTTTTAAGACATTTCTGCAAAAAATAATTTGAATCAAAAATATAAATAAAGTTAGTTAAAATGGCTTCCAGAGCTTCTTCAACTTTTGTCATTTGCGACTCCATTTATGATTGCGAGTTTTTTGATGACCCCATTTATAATTGCAAGTTTCTTGATGACACAAATATACAACAAAAAAAATTAATATTTCTAGATGATTTTGGTAACAATATACATATAGATATGAAAATATATATGTTTTATAATTTGTTGTAAAACGTACAAAAATCTAGACGTGATGTTATTAATTGATATATAAATATATATTTGACATTAAAACTTCCCGCGACCCTATACTTTTCATCCCCAAATGGGGTCGCAACCAATAGTTTAAGTAGCCTTAAATAGCCTTATGACATAAATTAAAATAACAAATAACAAATCAATTACTGTGAGTGATATACATGTATATCACTCATATAATAATAGGCAAATAGGCAAATTATATATCAAATAAAAATAAGAAACATAATTTTCAACTTTCTAAATAATATGTTTAGTTTATGTCTTTGTCAGAAAATCCAATTTGCCTCAAAAAATACTCGTATTAATTAGTTTTGCGCGACGATCGGTCGAGCCGTTTCTTTATAATCTAAAATGCAAAATATAAACTCTAAATTACGCAAATAAAAAAAAATATTTCAGACAAACTTTAGTTATTACGTGATACTTACGTATCCACTGCTTCAAATGTATGAACATAATTACGGCAACCATAAAAGTGAAATTTTTCGAAAAATATATTTTATAAAAACTCGACTGATTGTTATAGCTATACAACTTTATTGCTAAATAATACTAATCATATTACAAATTTAAATAAACTTACCGGTAGCGACGATTGTGGCGTTGTTACGCGCTCAACTTGCAATAGGGTACTCGGATCGAATCCTGGTCGGTTGCGCGATACAGGGTGCGCCATTTATATGTGATTAATGAAAAATTTTAATAACTTAAACAATTTTCAATAAATTTTGATAAATTTCGCAAATGGGCACTCGGATCGAATCCCGGTCGGCTGCTGATACAGGGTGCGCCATTTATATCTGATCAATGAAAATTTTGAATAACTTGAACAATTTTCAATAAATTTTGATAAACCTTTTTTTATTATCAAATTGTTACGAAGAAATTGAAATGATTTTTATTTGATAATGAAAAAAAGTTCATCAAAATTCTTTTACAATTGTTCAAGTTATTCAACATTTCCATTGACTACATATAATGCATCCTGTATAAACGGGATATAAAGTTAAATTAATGGTCTGGAATAAATTGATATGAGATTTCAAAAATTGGACAAAATAATAAAAAAATAGACTAGTTCATATTAGTTTACAAAGCCAATAATAAATAATAAAAAAAAAACTTACCAGTAAAGTATCACATAACATTCTGAAGGAACTAGTATTACCACCATGTCATCTACAGCTGGCCAACAATAAGACCAGAATGACTACAATGGCCCACACTGACTATATTTGGATTGATATCTGAACTGGTCAAAGGCTATAAAAATTATTATGCAAATTCGAAATTCGTGCTAATTCGTTTGTGTTCAAATCGTAGTTGATGTGTTATTGTATAAATCATAATTTACTGACATCTGTTCAAAAAACACACCATTACCACGTGCAAGAAAAATTAAATTTTCAAATCACCAGTTAACTGAGGCGCCATCATCGAACAGTACGCATAGTTTTGTGTCGCCCGAATGGAGCTCATGATTGACGACTATATAAATAATAAGAGTTAAGCCACTTATGTCTATTTATTTCATTCAGTCTCAAAAATATTCTGAACAACTTCAGAATTAATATATTTTGTTTTTCAAAAATTTCAATTAAAATAGCAAATGGTCACATTTTAAATGCTCGTCAAAAAAAAATCCTGACACATTTTCATTGCGATTATATTCGCCAATCACAGTTAACTGCTAAATTAAATTTACAGGTGATTTTGTTGGACGTTCTTGACTAATAAGAATTACCATATGATAGTATCAATGAAATAAACACGTCCAATTATTGAAATATTTATTTATTTATATTTTCATTTCTTAATCTTTTTCCTTCTCTACAGGATATGTGCCTCTCCTGTTTGCTCCACAAGCTGTCTCTATAATTTGTCTGGCTGCCATACTTGTAACTTGGGCCTCCTTCTCGTTTCCCAGAGCAGGATTAACTTCTACTAAATCAATAACATCTACTCGACCAGTTTTGTACAATTCTTCCATCACTACTACAGCTTCCCGAATAGTCATTCCACCTCTCACTAAAATTAGAATAAAAATCCATAAAACGCTCTCTATTAAACCGGTACGACTAAGGAATCTATATATTTTATCTACATAAGTGTTTCTTTTACCAGGTGTGCCGGTGGTTGGAGCTTCCAAAGGATCCAATGCATCAATATCAAAGCTGATATGGATACTGTTTTTGTTTCCAGGATCGATTTGGTAGAGCAACTCATGGACGGCTGTCAGGGCACCCACACGGTCCAGTCTATACATATCATAGTGAGGTATGTGGAACTTATCAATAAATAACCTCTCGTAATGATCTACACTTCGGAGACCCATATATCCCAAACGTTTACTTGAAATGCTAAAAGACACAAAATTACTTTTCCAAATCTGGTATTAGACGATTCATTACTTGAAACGTCGAGAAAACATAAAATTAGCTATTACCATGGTTTGCACCACTCCATTCCTGGTAAAACTCCAGGCCACAATTCTTTATCGTTCCTAAGTTCCTTTAACAGATGGCTCATGGGCATTCCATGCATATTTCCCGAATCTGATGATTTGTGGGTGTTGATATCAGCATGGGCATCTATCCACACCACGGCTACATCTTGGTCTTCTTTTGCCAGGTGGTGCCCATATATAGAACCTGCAAGGAAACAAATTGGTTTATGAATAGATGGATTATAGAAGCTGTTGACGCCAAAACATGTGCCAATGTTACTTGCTATTTATTTTGCAAAAAAATGGTGACATACATTTTATATTTTCAAGAAAATCTTACCAGTAGCTATAGAGTGATCACCACCTAAATTGACAACGATCCTGCCATCACTAATAACTTCGCAAACTTTTTCTGATAACAATTTATTGCAGTCAATAACATGTTTTCGTCTTTCTTCCAAAGATAGATCTTTTTGGGGAATTTTTTCACACATGTTACCATAGTCTTTGACGTCCTTCACACCTTAAAGAAAACAAATGCAAGAAAATTAAGAGATGCTAAATGGCAGTATGTTATAATTACCAGATGATTGATTTATTATTTTATTCTTATTATTATTATTTATTCAAGTATTACTACTCATCATCAATTCTTTATATATTTCATATTTTAAATAATTTCATTGGGATAAATGATCATAATACGGATTTAGACCATAAAATAGTATAAATAATAATAATAATAATTTAAATTAGAATGCACAGTTTTGCAGTTAAGAAAACTATGTCTATTAGCGCGTTATGATTTTACTTAAAATAATATGTATTACCAATTGTACTTAGGTAAATTTAAAAATGATGAAGCACATTACCTAATGTATTTTTGCAAAAAAAATACAACTCATAAATGAGGAAAATAATAGAGTTATGAAGAAACAAAATATGTCTAAGCATATGCTAAATGCTTAATTTAATATTATTATTTTACCACCTACCTGGTATTTCCTTTAAAGCTTCGATAAGTCCTGTTTTCCTGATGTGGTCTGGTCCGTTCTGGACGCCATCCTTAGGCTGTCCATGTCTAAAAGGTATCCCAATGATACCAATTTTGACCTCCTTACTTTTAGCTTTGCAGGTTGAATAACACTTCACCAGGAGCGACTTAACTTTCTGCTTAGTACCTGTTGTTGGCTTAGGAACTTGTTGAGGACGTCTTATCATAAACATTTTGAAAAAATTCTAATAAATTGATTTATAAACACGTGATTACTCACAAGTCACAATTTTTCTTTAAAAAAATAATTTATCAAAAATATTTTATAATTTAATATTAAAAGTTATAAAAAATAAGATAAAATCCTAATTCCTGTATCCACTCAGGATTTTTGTCCAAGATCCATTCCTAGTTCTTCACATCCATTTCTAAATGTTTTAACAAATATACTTCAATTAATTAAAAGCACAATTATAAATCACTATTAGTGTACTCACAATTAAATAAAATAATTTTTGTCACAGTTTTTTCAATGACAATTTCAACTCTAATCATTTTTTCGATAACCCCGCGTATAAAAGGTTAACAAATTTAAATAAAAATAATTTTATTTAATCATAACATCGAAAAATAAATAATTTAAACCATAATCGTCAAGAATGACTTTAAAATCATTTGAATCTAAAATTTCAGATATGTTTTGTTTATTCACATACCCAGGCTAATTTATGACGCATAGTTTATCATCTAGAGCCCGTACAGAGCCGAATTAGAAATTTATTCAACTTTGAAATAAATACAACGGTATAAAATATACAAATTTCATTTTTTCATACTAAATAAAGAGCTTTACTAATAAAGAGCTCCTAAGAGCTTTACTAAGCGGAAATCTTGCAAGAGAAGTTGAAGAAAACCCGAGATTTATATTTGAAATTGAAATATTTTCAAGGCAAATCTGCGAAAAGTTAGATCACCATTTAAGTAGAGACACAAAGATCTCTTCGGAGCAAATCGGATTTTTAGTAAAATTTTTCCTTAGGGTAGTTAAAAAAAAATTCTAAAAATATATACTATAGAAAAATGAAAATAAATAGAGATTGCGCCGATGATTTGCGGTAGTAAATACAAAAACATTTCCAAGAATAAAAGTTAATCATTATATAGGTTTTGCACAAAAATCTTTATAAATTTATATTATAAAATTTTTTTTTGTTGAATATTCAAATATATACTTGTTTTCCACAAAAAAGTGCCTTTTAAGGCTTTTAAAGTCATCATTAAAAAAGGTTTTGAAGCGAATTTAAAATTTAAAAAAATATATTAATTCAACAAAACCACTTATCTTCTTTACTGCTAAATATATACAATTTAAAACAAAAAAACAGAAAAGTCAAGAACAAAAATTGTACCAAATTAGTGATCGTTAACACTCTTTCGAAAATTCATAGATTACATCTATAAAGTAAAAAATATTGAAATATTTATAAATATTTCAATATTTTTTTACTTTATAGATGTAATCTATGAAACCCAATATTTATAAATATTTCAATATTTTTTACTTTATAGATGTAATCTATGAATTTTCCAAAGAGTGTTAACGATCACTAATTTGGTACAATTTTTGTTCTCGACTTTTCTGTTTATTTTTTTGTTTAAAATTGTACATATTTAGCAGTAAAGAAGATAAGTGGTTTTGTTGAATTAATAATTTTTTTTTAAATTTACATTCGCATTTGTATACAAATGCGTAATAAGTAGATATGATAAAAAAAACTTACAGTAAGCTCATTAATGTCTATATAAATAAATAAATAAAACTTACAAACTGTAAATCAAACTACTTTTAAAAAGTCTCCTCCTCCTCCTCTAACAGCTTCATGCATATTCACCATTCTTCCTATTTTGTGAAACTGGTAACTTTCACCTTGATAAAAAAAATGGTAAAATCCACGTAAGAAATATTATTATTAGTACAAATATTTGGAAATATATTCATAATAGATTATTGTATAATTATGAATTATTTTTGCACTTACCAAAATCAGAATTCGGTCCTTTTGCGTGCGATATCTCTGATAGACGCTGTTGACCTCAAGACTTTAATCTTTTGCTATTAGTTTACTATGACTTTGTTTGTATGCAAACATATTTACACAAGTTTGATATATGCAAATAAACTTATCAAAATTATTTCTCATTGATCACTTCATATTATATGAATAAGATCGGAAAGGAAAATTTATATCTCTGGTATTGGAAGGTATCTAATTAGATTGCAATTTTTTTCTAATTTGATCATAAATTACATGTTGTGATTTGTAATAATGTTAGAAAAAAAATAACATTCAATTATTCCAATTTACTTCAGAGATAAGAGATTCACTTATTATAGTCTTTCGAAGAAAGCATCCTTGTAAAAAAAAATGAACGGTGCTTTCTATTCGAGGATCAGAAACTTTTCGGAAAAATTGAAAATTGAAAAATTAAAGAACAAATTATCACATATCTTATAGATATTTTAAGATTAAGTAACACTTTTGTTTACGTTTCTATAGGTTCTGTGAAAAAATAGAAACAAAAAGGTTTCTTAAAAAATTAAAAAAGAAAATTAAGTACCCAATTAAATTAATTACCCAATTATTACTTAGGCGTATAAAAAATATATAGTAGCCGATTTTCAAACCGGCTGAATACGCATATAAAATTTGGTGAAAATCGGTCAAGCCGTTTCAGAGAAGTACGGGCGCTAACAAATCCAAATCAGTATGAGAATGTATTCTGAACATGTCATTAGTTTAAACTTTAATGTATACTTTCAATACCAAAAATTCTATTATAATACATAAGGAAAAGAATGGTGATCTCAGAAAATTTCATAAATACAGATTGCATGCTGAATCTGTATTTATGGGATTGTTCAAGTATTACGTAAGCAGATTTATTACAATTATTTACCCCACTCCCCTTTGTCAGCAAAAGTAAGCAAATTTCTTACCGAAAATAAGCAAAATAAGCAAATCAATAAAGCCCCCCCCCCGCCCCCTATAGTGCTGACGTAATACTTGAACGACCTCTATCATTTTAAACCTCCTTTGCGGAATTCTACTCTTTCAGTACATGACTTATAATATTATCAATATTTTTAAAAATCATTCTTCCAATCCTAGACTCTTGTTGTTTTTCAATTTATCTATTGTTAATAATATTTTTAAATTATAGGTGTGTATTGTTGAGAATATTGGAAAACTGAATACACACAACCATACACCTGTAACATCTTGTATTATCATTTATAATTTTTAATGTATATATTAGTTCGCAGTGAAATAACATTATTTTATTTCTTTTAACATTCAATAGTTCCTGAAGAAGGCAGAATCCTATGTCCCGAAATGTCATGTTAATTATATGTATATAAAAAACTATAATACAAAAAATGAAAAAACTGAGGGTTCTTAAGTTCAGAAAATTAGAATCAAATAATACTAACTACCCAGAAAACATAGCGTACAAGGAGAAGAAATAAATTTAGCTAAATTCCAACATCACAAATTAAATTAAATTTAAGAAATCAAGTGATAAACCAAATCATAAAGAAAGAACAATAAATTTCACATTACTTTGAATGAGATTCACAAATCTTAAGTAAAAGCCAGTTTCTTGTAATCACATCTTTTAGTCCATTCATTATAGTAAGTTCTCCTTAGAATTCGAGATACCCAGCTGTAAGTCTGTAAATACTTGTATATTGACACCCTAAAGTTGTCTCAAAACCTACATATAGTATTGACACCCTACCATAGGTTTTAAGACAACTTTAGAGTGTCAATATGCAAGTATTTACAGACTTACAGCTGGGTATCTCAAATTCCGAGATTCTTACCTATTTTAAGCTTAAATGACTGGACTACTTAGAAATAAAGAAGTAAAGATTTTGTGTAACTATGTAAGTTTAAAGTTTGACAAAAAGTAATGACAGAAATTACAGGAACATAGAATATAAAGATGGATATGTTGAAATTTTTGTATATAAAGATATAGCATAGTAAAATAATCAAAGATTTATTCAATAACCATTCATTTATACACAGATTTTCTCACACTTTACTTGGGTCCCAACATTTCTTCTGGCTTGACCCATTCATCAAATTGTTGTTCAGTCAGGTATTTTAGTTTCAAGGCAGCTTCTTTCAAAGTAGATTTGTCGGCATGTGCAGTTTTGGCTATTTTAGCTGCCTTGTCGTAACCGATATGTGGGTTCAATGCTGTTACTAACATCAAGGATTCGCGCATTATCTTAGCGATATTTTCTTTATTGGCCTGGGTTCCGTCTACACAATTTGTTGCAAAGCATTTACAACTGTCACCTGTGAGGAAAACAAAATGTTGATCATACCACTGGATTATCAACGACAATTATTGTATCATGGCAAATAAAAAGAGAAAAACATCAAATGCCATATATTACTTGTTTCGCAAACAAGGTGCTGCCTATAAACTGTAACCATTTCCAAATAATGTTTGATATGCTATGGCTTTTGTAAGAACCAATTTTTTTATTATTATTTCAAAAACACTATATTAAAATTGTAGCAGACTAATGGAAATGATAGTAAAAGTATTTATTTTCTCTATTAGAATCTATTAATCAGAATCTATTAATAAAATTAGGCAGTCAGGTAAAACCATCAACCTATTCATATTCACACATTTTAAAAGTCAGTTGTTTGTCAGTTGTATCAGTTTTATAGAATTTTCATTCATGAGACTCTCCTTGTCTAATCCATATCTATGTATTTAAATATATGTATTCAACTTACCAATTAGCCTGATGGATCGCAGTACATTAGCAACCATCATTGGTTTAAATACATTCAATTCAAAATGACCATTAGATCCACCAACAGTACAAGCTACGTGATTTCCCATTACTTGAGCAGCTACCATAGTTATGGCCTCACATTGAGTTGGATTAACCTTACCTTGAAAATAAAATGGAAAAATGATAGAAATTTATCACAATATAAGCAATTATATTGAAATTTTATAGTAAATTAAAGATAATATTAAAATAAAGTTATTGCTTTGAATAATTGAACAAGTACAAAATTGTAGATTATGTGTATCATCAGTGTTTTACCAGGCATGATAGAGCTTCCAGGTTCGTTTTCAGGTAGAGACAATTCACCAAGTCCACATCTTGGTCCAGAAGCCAAGAATCTCATGTCATTAGCAATTTTCATCAAAGAACAAGCGATTACATTAAGAGCACCAGAAACTTCAACCAAGGCATCATGAGCTGCTAGAGCTTCAAATTTATTTGGGGCTGATGTGAATGGAATTCCTACAAAAAGAAAAGTAAACTTATAATATTCTTATCATCAATTTAATAAATCATGTAGAAGTCACAAATATTGTCAAGAAATATGTATTTAATTATGCATAACTTTTTTGATATCATTCATTATTAAAAAATGTAACAAAGTTGAGGAAAGAGAAATAATAAGTCATTAATTAAAAAAGATTTTGGTTAAATAAATTAAAACATTGAGAACTGCTAAAAATGTTTGACCTTTTAAATTTCAAGGACTATAGAAAAACAGGTTCTATAAACTACTATATTACAATTCATATCTTTAAATAAATTACCTGTGAGTTCGCTAATGACTTTGCAGCACTTTTCAGCAAAACCTTTGCGAGTATTCAATCCTGTTCCAACAGCTGTTCCACCTATGGCCAGCTGATATAACCGGGGGTAACAAGCTTCGACTCTTTCAATGCCATAAGCCATTTGGGCAACATAAGCTGGAGAAAAAAATAAAATTTATTTGATAAATAAATTTTAAACATATATTATATAAAATGCAATTAAATATATTTACTATACGATAATACTTTCCAGAATAAAATTTGTTGTTACTATTATTGCAATATTTTTAGAATAATGATGATTTAATTATTTTATCATAAAATATAAAAGCCAAAAGATGATGTAAAATGTATCCAATCTATACATAAGTTGAAAAAATGTTAAACCTGAGAATTCTTGTCCCAATGTCAATGGTACAGCATCTTGTGTGTGCGTTCTACCAATTTTAATAATGTCTTTGAATTCTATGGCTTTCTTATTGAGAGAATCGTGCAATTGTTTCATTCCTGGAAGTAAAGTACATTGGATCTCCATTGCTACTGCAATATGCATGGCCGTTGGAAATGTATCATTTGAACTTTGGGATTTGTTTACATGATCATTTGGATGCACTGGTGTTTTCGATCCTAATTGACCACCTAAAAGTTGGATAGCTCTGTTGCTAATTACCTATGAATAAAATTAATATTATAAGCTATAATTTTATAATTATAGTTTTAATATCTTTAATTACCTCATTTGTGTTCATGTTTGTTTGGGTTCCAGACCCAGTTTGCCAGATTACTAATGGAAAATGATCATCATACAATTTCCTGAAATGAAATCATCAGCTGCTTTAGAAATTGCATCAGCAATTTTGGATCTAAACCATAGTCCTTATTAACAATGGCAGCAGCTTTTTTCAAAAACCCATTCCTACAATAAATGGATACTAAAAATTAAAAAAGTATTAATACAGTAATATTGCATTTTATGCATTAGATATGACTAGATTGAAAAAATAAATGTAATTAGTCACTGAAGATTTCAGTAAATTGAATTTTGACATAAATAAATTAAAAGATTACACTGCAAGTTTTTCCAATTCTCTTATTTTATAAAGGGGTAGAATCAATATAATATTTAATGATTAAATACTCGCCAATTGCACAAAAATCAATA